ATCATGAACTCAAGATTGAAGATCATGGACTCAAGATTGAAGATCATGAACTCAAGATTGAAGATCATGGACTCAAGATTGAAGTTCATGAACTCAAGATTGAAGATCATGGACCGAAGATTGAAAAATCTTCATGGACCGAAGATTTGTGAGTAGCTGCTTGAAGCTACATATCCATCCAAAGGAGATCTTCCTACAGACTGACCATATCTCTGCAAAAGTTGGTATCTGCATATGCACGCTGTGTATTGTATGCACGCTGGAGATCTTCCTACAGACTGACCATATCTCTGCAAAAGTTGGTCTCTGCATATGCACGCTGTAACACCCTCATTTTCACCATGAGTTGTGTCACGTCATTTTCATTAAATAACAATAAATAACCCCAAAATACAGTGGCTAATAAAGCCTTATTACAGTGGAAGTCTTACAAATTCAATTAAAATTAATAGCTCAACGCTAACCCGTCCCATACCGGGTTACATTACAAAATGAGTTTAAGCATAAATCTAAACATCCGAAATATAATAATATAATTATCTAGAAGAGAACCTCGCTCTTGTCCACCCTTGAACCTCTTGCACCTGAGATGCATACTAATAGTCAGCTTTACAAAGCTTGGTGAGTTCATGGTTTTTGTGCACAATCATACACACCTCATCATGCATAAAACAAACAATGCCCCAAATAAAATAATATGCACATTTGTTTCAAACCACCTCTAAGACTTTCTTACAATATTAAACAATCCCTGTAAGTCATATTCAAAGTCTCATTAGTGATTCACATCAAAGAACTCACACAAATTCCATTTCAATTCAAGCACTCTACTTTGAATTCCATTCTAAATACTCAACTTGCAGACCTGTTTTGACCCTTTAATGCTCAAAATCACCATAATTTTATACAAATTTCTATGATTTTTCAAAGGTAGGACTGTAACCATGTTGACATATACTCTAAACATCCATTTTTCATTAAAAAAAACATGACCAATACTAGTCCAATCAATTCCAAATTCATATATTCACTTATTTTTACCATATTACAGAATAAATCAATCACAAACCATGATTATAACATCAATTTCCTACCAATTTCTTCATATTTCACTTTGACTCCTAAAAGTCAACACATGTTCTTGAGTTAACTGTATACTTTTCAAGAAATCTTACAATCCATCCATGGATTTCACATATAGCAGATAATAACACTTAATCTTAATATAGTTTCATTACTAAATCATCACATGCATGGACTCAAAACTAATCAATTTATGTACAAAACAAAAACAAAACTAGGAGGTGAGTTTTACCTTTGATTTCTTCACAAATCCTTCAAAAATCTTGTTAAATCACTTGATTTAGGGTTAGATTAGCTCCTAAGTGTGTATGTTCTCACCTTAGAACACCAAGAACTGTTTTTGGGTGAAATGTGGTAAAATGGGGCTGTTTTGGGGTTTTTCATGTCTTAAACCCGAGTTGGGTCGGGTTGACTCGGTTTGATACCCATTTTGACTTCTAAACACTAAAAATTGCATAACTTTTCGCTCGGAACTCCGTTTTTTATGAGATTTTCGCCCATGCGTTCATAACAGGATAACCTACAACTTACAATAAAAATATTCCAGAAAATATCTCCCAATAAAATCAGTTTTTTAATTATTTGTAACTTAGACGTTATACTTTAATTCCATTATTTGACTTTATGAACGGAATCACGTAAAAAAAATTCTACAACACTTCTAGTACCTCCCAAATGATTCTAAACTTAGTTCCAAATCTTGAAATTCCATAAAAGTCTTTCGTAAGAACCCAGTGCTCAAAACCATACCCAAAAAATTGATATTTTCAACACATACTTAGCAAAAACGCAATGTACTTTGATTTCTTAACATATAACCACTCCAAAATCTTACTGAAACATATATAAGGGTATTTCAACCTTTAGATCATATTTAAGCATAAAATTAAGACATATTAAAAAGATAAATGTTACATTACCCCACACAGCAACTCTACCTTTCCTTAACAAATAGGGGATTCGTTAATACTCTTAGGGCACATAGAAAATATGTTATGCTCGTCTTATTTGGTGATGATGGATATTGGAAAAGAGCAACATATGTCCCCCTCTTACAAGATGTTACTTTCATTGACCCAAGCACAAGCCTTGGTGGCTTCAAATCTCAACTTGTTACTCATGCTGTAACAACAACTATGTTTGATACAAAAAAATCATACTCCCTTGTTGTAAAATAAGTATCAATAATTAAAAAGACACACAATTTTACATAATTGTTACTCTTTTTAATTAATAATTTCACTTTTATTTAATTTTATATTTTTTTATAATTTTTAAATATTTGTGCATTTGTATATTTGAGAATTTAGTAATCTAACTTTGAAACCAGATACCTATTTTGAAATATAATAAATCGAAATCATGTTCCAAGCATAAATTAAGCGGATAGAATAAAGGGAAAATTGCAATAAAATAGAACCAACTTGCATCTGATTTTTATTTTAGGGAACCAACTTTTAAAATCGTCATTTTGGGAAACCAACTTGCACCTGATTCCTATTTTGGGGAACCAACTTTCAAAATCGTCATTTTGGGGAACCAACTTGGACCTGATTCCTATTTTGGGGAACCAACTTTCAAAATCGTCATTTTGGGGAACTAACTTGCACCTGATTCCTATTTTCGGGAACTAACTTGCAAAATAACTATAGAAAAATAACTAAAATTCGTTTTTTTCCAAAAATTAATGCAATAAAATCTATTTTTCATTTCAAATTTCGTTTTTTTTAATTCAGATATCAAATTGAACATTTTTGAAAAAAATCTAAATTACCACAATAAAAATTGTTTTTTACTAATGCAAAAAAAATCAATTTAATAGAAAAAAATTAATTGATGCAATAAAAAATAAATATTAAATATCACATTCAAGATTTTTATTTTTTATTGCATCAATTAATTTTTTTCTATTAAATTGGGTTTTTTTTTGCATTAGTAAAAAACAATTATTATTAAATTTTTTTAAATGTTCAATTTGATATTTGAATTAAAAAAACGAGATTTGAAATGAAAAATATATTTTATTTTATTAATTTTTGGAAAAAAAATGAATTATAGTTATTTTTCTATAATTATTTTGCAAGTTGGTTCTCCAAAATAGGAATCAGGTGCAAGTTAGTTTTTCAAAATGACGATTTTGAAAGTTGGTTCACCAAAATAAAAATTAAATGAAAGTTGGTTACATTTTGATGTAATTTTTCGTAGAATAAAAATAAATAATTAATGTTGGTGATAAATAGCGTAAAATTTAATATCATGCACTTAATTAAGTGTTATGACTTGTCACTTTCTTAAAACATCTTATACCACACCAAAAGTTAGCACCGATATAATTTCCTTAGTTGCAACAAATTACACCATAAATGCAAGAAAATGAACGTTCATATTGTATGATTTTGTTTGAGTTGTTTTGAGAAAAATACATTGTGTTTCAGTATGATTCTGATTTAACATTTACGTATTCTTTACGTCGATGACATTTATTAACGAACATTTCGGAACGTTAATATTTTGATTTTGATGCATAAATTTTTCGGTTTTGTTATCTATCTGTTGACTTTTAGTCAATGATTTTCGCTAAACAATATATTTGTGTTAATCCAAATATTTAGTTTCTGTTTCAAAAGGCAACAATGTTTATTCTTTATTGGGTTGAACTACATATTTTAGAAAACTCCGTTTTCTAACAACATATTATATTTATTTGATATAATATTAACATATCAAAATGTGATTAGAGAAACTTTACGAAAAAGAACAACTTTCACTATAATAAAATCGGATTTGTAGGACGTTAAAAAAATTTAAGTTTACTAATAGATTGTTTTATAGGTTTTAATTTATAGGATCAAAATATCTAAATACGTTGTAATAAGTTTATAGAATGTTTTTGGGGGGTTTTAACAAATTTTTTATGACATTTTTAATACAAAACGTCTAATCAACAATTTAATAGGACACTATTTGAGAAAGTGTTCTATAAAAAAAACTTTTTATAAAAAGATGAATTTATAGGACATTTTTTCAATGCAATGTTTTATATTAAAAGTGTTCTAAAAAACTTGTTAAGACATCCAAAAGCATCCTATCAACTTATTACTACACCTTCAAATAGGAAACTTTATATTTTAAAACATAGAATCAGTACATGGAACATACTGCATCAACACTAGTACTCTGCTAGAGAGAGGGAGGGAGGGAGAGAGAGAGAGAGAGAGAAACACATGATATAGATAGACATAGAGAGAGAAGCAGAAGACTGAAATAGTACGTAGTAAACCCTAGCAAGAGGAGTTTAATTTTTTAACACTTAGGAACGGGAACCCCACAAGTAGTAGCGACCTTCTTGGCGTTAGGAGAAGTGACATAGCCCCTCAGGCTTGGGTTCTTCAGGTACCCGCATAAACATGGCTGCTGCTCTTTGATCTTTGAGCAGCACAGCTCCGACGGTGGAGATGATGAAGAGATAGCCGGTGCACATGGCGCCAGCTCCGTTGCCATACATGTCACCGCCCTAGTCACTTGAGATCCGGCCAACAACATCACCAGTAATGCTGCTGCGCATAGTGCAATGTGTTTGGCTGACCTCATTTTTCACTCACTGCCACTGGGTGGGTTTAATGGAAAGAGAGAGAGAGAGATGGAGTTTGAGGAGTTTGCGTTTCCTATGGGCAGCTCTTACGGTATTTATAGAGGAAACCCACCCACCAAAAACGAAAGGTAAAATGCCTCCCATTTTAGAATTATAAGAAATTTAATTCATGCATAAAAACTAAAAATATATATATATATATATATATATATATATACTATCTTAATATTCATTTACATTAAAGTCTTAATTACAATACAACAAGCATATATAGAGTACTACTTTTTGAAGCATAAAAACTGAAGAACTCTTAATTACTAATTATGATGCATTAGGTACAAGTCATTGATGCAAACTTTTTGAACTCTCTACCAACAAATATGGTCAACACCAATGTTCCTTTCTTTTAAAAACTATGAATTTCATGTTTAATGCATGATGTATATGTTCTTAAAGCATACATTTAAACATAACACTTTTAAATCAGACACAAGCACCAAATTAGAAAGTTTAGAATTGCTTTCATTTGTGATGACTTTTCTTTACCTCTTTTCAAGCACCGACCCGAAAATGAGAAAATTCTCTAGATTTTTGTGCTCCTAAAGCAATTCTCCGAGGACCTTTTTGAATAACAAGCTTTTCTTCATGTCCAAGTTTATGTATACAACAACTGTAATAAGTGACTAAATAATCTTTTTCATATAATTCATTGTAGGAGGTTTGTTTCCTACCAAATCCTTCAACATCGGTTGTAGTAACCAAAAGAAACCTACCTCACCATTGAAGCATCTCAAGGTAAAAAAAAACTCAATTTTGAAATTGCTCCAACTTCATATGGGTTTTTGGTTACTAACTTGTATGAGATTTTGATTTGTATATTTGCACCACATTTTATGTTATATGTAAACTAATGGGTTCTTATATCGCACCACAGAAACCTACCTCACCATTGAAGCTGCTCTGCGTAATAAGGTACAAAGCTCAATTTTGAATTTACTCTAGCTTCATATGAGTTTTTGGTTACTAATTGGTTTGAGATTTTGATTTTGATTTTGATTTTGATTTTGATTTTAGTTTGTTTTCTACACCACATTTTATGTTATATGTAAACTAATGGATTCTTGTATTGCAATACAAAAATCTACCTCACCATCAAAGCTGCTCTACTCTAGTCCACTCCATCTTGCTCCAGCATGATCTCTGCACAGTAAGATAGAAAACCCAAACTCCTACTCAATTTTAAACGAACTCCTGCTTCAAATGGGTTTTTGTAAGCTATTTGGTTTGAGATTTTGATTTTGATTTGTATTTCTGTACCACAAAAATCAGTTATATTTAGGGATTGATGAGCATTAGCGGTTGTTGTATTTGATGGCATAAGCCTTTGAACTGAGAAGAAATCCCAATCCCAACAAGATTCAAGCTTCAAGATTCTCGATTCACCATTGAATGTTTAGATCCATTTATATCTAGCATCTTATGGTTCTTTATTTCCTCCATTATTGAGTGTTTTTAGAAATTTTGCCAATAAAGCTCACATACATGTCACCGCCCTAGTCACTTGAGATCCGGCCAACAACATCACCAGTAATGCTGCTGCGCATAGTGCAATGTGTTTGGCTGACCTCATTTTTCACTCACTGCCACTGGGTGGGTTTAATGGAAAGAGAGAGAGAAATGGAGTTTGAGGAGTTTGCGTTTCCAATGGGCAGCTCTTACGGTATTTATAGAGGAAACCCACCCACCAAAAACGAAAGGTAAAATTGTTAGACTTAATTTAAGTTCTTGAATAGCATTAACACATCAGAATTGAATCTATTCATGTAAAGAGATTTAGGGCTTGAATTGTGTACCTTGTGCGACTGATGAAGATGGGTTCTGATTGTTTGATTGATCACCCATTCTTTCTCAAGATCCACTCTTAATTCCTTACCATTTGATGGCCTTTGGTAACTAATAGGATTCTGTGTGTTCTTGTGAGAGACAGATGTAAAATGGCGCCAGAGAAGTTTTTATATGGGGCTGAAAGAATTGTTCTCACCATCAAAGAACCATAAAACTGTCAATAAACCAACTGCTATATATATATGACAGAAAAGAAGAGTCTGATGGTACGCATACATATATACATACCTGATGCTTATATATAAAGCATAATTGTTATTATGCAATGAATCTTGTTCTCAAGGTGAGCATATATACAGATATGTTTCTATATATATTACAATCTCCCACTGAACAAGATAATAATTTGATAATAACAATTAACTAAATTGTGCACTGGTTTTATATAATCACATCAGTTCCTTCACAGTATATAACATTGAAATTGAGCAGTGGATCATGGAAGTTTACTGATCAATAACATTGTGCAGGCTTCCATGGTCACAATGATGCAACCTCATTGTTATATACCTGTTTATTCATACCATATCCTCCTTGAACATTTACAGCTTAAAATTTCAATTCAGCAAGGTTCTGTAAATGCCTTAATTGCTTGAATTCATAAAAGTGCTTCAACAAGCATATGTGAACATCCAAATTTGTACAATCATAGTTTCACATAACCATTAACATAATATATTTTAAGCACATATACACAAGCATATATTAAATAGACACATACTATAATGAAATACATGCCATAATTATCATCATATCAACCTTAGATGTCGAGAGGATGTATCATTCCCATGGCTTTAACATGCTTCTTGAAACATTCAACTGGAAGTGCTTTGGTCAAAGGGTCTGCCAATTGTTCCTTCGTTCCTATCTTCAAAACTTCAACTTCCTTGTCTCTGACATTCTCCCTTACTACAAAGTATTTTACGTCTATATTCCTAGAACCACTGCTTCTTTTGTTATTTTTAGTGAAAAATACCGCAGCAGCATTATCACAGTACATTGTAAGTGGTCTCTGTATTGAATCTATAATCTTCAATCCAGTAATGAAATTCTTAAGCCAAATGGCATGAGATGTTG